TATTTGTAATAATACAGTGAAATATATATATATGTAACATTTTTTTTAAATATCGAAATTAGTATATCCAAATTAATCATAGATTCATTGATATAATATATAAAATTGTTGAAAATCCCATGTTGGGATAATATATATCTTTAAGTAGCAGTGCGATAATGTCCCAATCATATGATTTTTAATAAATGCAATTGATAAAATTTTTATGTTTCTCTCATTTTTTTTTATAGCGTTATTGGCTCATCAACCATCATAAATCAGATAACTCATGATATAAAAATGTTATTTGATGGTGCCCAAATAATAATTCGTATTTAATTATCAAGCAAGATCGTATGAGAGAAAGTTAATAAATCATGGGAATAAAAAAAAAATTGGTACAAGATCGTATCTTGTTGGAGAAAGAATAGAGGAGTGACGACAGTTGGAAAAAAAAACGGATAAACATTTTTGTTTTGAAGGGTGTTATTGGAAGAAGAAGGAGTATCCAAAATTGTTTAATTTTTTAAATTCACTCATAAAGAAAATTGTTAATTTTTTTTTCATAAATTTTAATTGTAAAGAAATTTTTTTTTGGTATTTAAGAAATTGTGAAAAGAAAAAGTACATTATATTTTTTTTTATTATACCTTTCTATTTTGTTGAAGTTAAAAATGGTAGGTATCCATGAATATATTTATTGGGAAAATATCACCGTTCGAATTAGTATCTTCAGGGGCAGGGTTGACACGGAGGGAAATCATATACATCCAGGATCGAGACCCGATCCCAGACCCCCGCAAAATAGACAAACTATGGAATTGTTCAACGGAATGGGTCATGGATCCGAGTTACCCCAGCCCAGCCATTCGGGTTTAAGTACCGTACTGAACATCCAGTTGTGTTTCATCTGCGGAGCAAGGAGTCATTTACAGGCTCGATGCCCCCGCGGGCCCCGCCATGTTTATACGGGATGGAATTATGATAGAAGAAATTTGGTAAGATCAAGAAACGACAGGGATAATGGTGAGCAAATTCGAGGGGCCTATTCCGTCCGGACTGCGTTACCGGCCGTAACTGGAGCGGGGGGTTTACAAACCATGGGTGGAACGACGAAAGTAGAGCAACCCGCAGCCTTGGAAGTTGAGCGACCAGTGGCAGTGATAGGACCGTCTCAAGAACAGGCCCAACTTTCGAATAATGTAGGAGATTTACTTGAAGAGTGGCCGATAGTAAATCTATCGGCCGATGATTTGGAACAATTATTCCGAGAACAGTGAGATAAAATTTATTGAATAAATTTATATTTTTTTTTGTAACCGATATGAATAATAATATTGTATGCGATATATTTTTCGCGTAATTTAATTGATTTTTTTTATGGGGGGCGTGTGATAGGCATGCTTACTTTAAATTTATGTGTATTGTTTTTCTTTATTATTACCAATATTTTTTTAATCGATATTATTTGTTTTTTTATCAGTATTATAATTTTGTCAATTTTATTTCTTTTAATCAATATTATTTGTTTTTTATCAATATTATTTTTTTTATTATTTATGGAAGTTATAAAAACCCTGAAAAAGAAGAAATTATAACACATTATTATTCTTTTTTCTTTTTCTAAAAAATTGTTATATTTGAAGAGGAAATAGATAAATAAATTAAAAAGGAAAATAATATATAGTATTAGGAAAATTACCTCTAGAAGAAGGTAATGAATGGTGTTCCTTTTCTTCAAAAAAAAGTAACGCCGTTAGTAACGACGTTATTTTTTTGACATTACTTTACATCACTAGAAATTATATATATTAGATATAAAAAAATAAAAATAAGGGTAAATGAAGTTGAGTATTAGAGCCTAGAAATGAAATAGAAAGAAAATACATAATATAAATTCGAATTCCTTTTAAATTCTATTTAATATAAATTAATAAATTATAAATTAACATAAAAGGAAAAAGTAACAAAAAAGATTAAAAATTAAGAAAATTATATGCGAAAAATCCTACAATTGTTAAACCCTTAAAATCTGAAATATCTCCAATTATCACGCGTTTTCATCTCATTTACATAGGCTAAGTTTAATTAATAAAGTAATAATTTTAATAAAACATTATTTTTGTTTGAATATTATCACAATTTGAATAATACATTTTTTTGTTTAACTAATATTACAACAGTAAATATAAAGATATACAATAATTACTAAAAAAACTATACAATGCATAAATATTCATTATGTCCAAAAATGGGAATTTTATTTTCAATATCCAAAAAAGTTAATTTATTTTAAGAAAAGTTTTATTATTATACCAAAAATGGCCATTTTAATTTTTAATATCCAAAAAGTTCACCAGAATAATTATTTATTTATGTTTACTTAAATGATTTTAAATAATAAAAGTTAAAAATTTTTTTACCCCCCTCCCCTCCATTGTTTAAATTTTCTTAACCAGCCCTCCCGTTCTTAATTTTTTTAGCTCCAACCGCTAAAAATCCGCCCAATGCAGACTTCTAGTTTGAATGGTAGTGTCGCCACCGACAGTATAGCATATATGAATTAAAGATTTTTAGTCTAGATATTTAAATTCCTAATGGTAAATTTACTTTACAGAATCAGAATTAATATGAGAATATTTAGTTTTCGATTTGCGATGATTAGGTTCTAAATGACTGACACTTGAGTAGAGTGCCTCTAAATATTCAATCGATGTATCAACAATGTAGGTATATAACTGGCAGCTGTTTTAAATTTCTTTAAGCCAATTTGTCTAAGTTGAAGTAGATGGGAAGTAAGCAAGCCTTAGGATTATGCTAGTACGAATTAGATTGCATAAAGAAAAAATAAAGTGCGATGCAGTGTTGTTAAAATAGCGCACTACTTTTTTCAGTAGCGGTAGCTTTAGCGGTCTACTTTTTTTAGAAAATATGATAGCGATAGCTCGCTACTACTACTTTCAATTTTACATAATAAATACATCTAAAAATTATTTAAATATATTTTTTATTAAATCTAAAATTATAATTCTTTTATTTAATTATATTTTGAAATATAAATTTATATTTATATACATTATAAATCTTAGCATTATAAATTTAGTTATTAAAAATGTGTGAGATTGTTGAAGATAGCGAAATTTCTTTGGAAAAAGAAAAAAATATAGATTATCCTTTCCCAAAATTCAAAAAATACTTTAATCTTGAAGAAAAATTTACTACTGGATATCGGTTTCGATGCAAGATGTGTCGCAAAATTTTATCCTCAAATCATACAAGCAGCTTTAATTTGAAAAACCATTGCATAGGATATTTTGTTCCCACACTGAGTATATATTAATTACCAAGCTCAAAATAATCATAATCTAAAATTTTGCCAACCACTGGTAGAGTCTATGCTAAAAAAAAGGCATTGAGAAAAGGTCAAAAAAACTTTATTTTTATTTTCTATTATACAATTATATAAATGAATGATTTATTGCTTGATTAGCCATTTAAATTGGCTTAATTTACAACACAATCTATAATATTAATATATTGCATTAATATAAAATTCAAAATTAATATATTATTAATTACCTTGTGTATATAATTATATTTTTAAAATCTTTATTTACCATAATTTAATGTTATTTTAATATTTTTTTATAAATGAATCTAAATCTCAGATAAATTTAAATTTTGAAAATTAAAAAGGTATTCTTTTTTTATAATAAATACAATCGCTTTATATAAATTAAATTTCCAGATCTGTATGAAGATGATAATGTAATAGCTGCTATCGTTCATCCTAGTTTCAAATTAAATTGGCCATACATTAATTTGACTGAATCTAAAGGGCAACTGGATAGGCTGATGGTTGCCTCACGATACTAATACTATAGCAAGATCGAAACCGCGCTTTTCCATAGACGATTATTTTGAAATAAATAATAATAATATTATTGAACCTCTAGATGTTTTTTTAAAATCTAAAATTACTCATTTAAATGTTTTTGATGATTTTTTTCATATAAAAAGTGTGTTTATTAAATTTAATACTGCGTTGCCCTCAAGTGTTAGTGCTGAACGATTATTTATGGCAAAGCGTATACTTTCTGATCGTCGCTCGAGACTTGGGGATGAGAGTAGCGAAATGTTATTATTATTAAAGTTCAAAATAAATAAATTATATATATATATATATATATATGTAACAAATTATAGTCATGTTTTTATACCAATATTTTATTTGTGGAAATAAAGTTACGTAAAAAATTAAAAAAAAAAATCAAAATAGCGTAAAAAGAAGCTTTAGCTACTTTTTTTTTAAAATTAGCTAATAGCGCGCTACTCATTTGAAAACGATAGCGGTAACGATAGCGCGCTACTTTAAGTAGTGTTTAACAACACTTGCGATGGATGCTGTTAAAATTTGCGAGTTAGTCATATTTCTTTTGGGAATTGTTGGGATATATGCTTGCAGTCGTGCCTTCATATTTGTTTTTTGATTCCCACATTTGATTGGCGCCTGATATTTCAGCTTTTTGGGCATGAAGGATATTAGTTTTTTGTAACCAGTCCAAGAATTCAAATATAAATTAGGCGTATATCTCATCTTTATTTAGTTTTTCTATTATAATAGTTGGGTTCAAAGAACAGGGGGCTAATATATATAAAGAAGCTAAACCTTGGGTTAGAGACCTGCTGATCCAGCCGAATTCTGCCCGTGTGCAGTTAATTACAATAAATTATACGAACGTTTCGTGGCCCCAAATATTAATATACATATCCAATATTTATTGTTTTAAAATTTAAATTATTTTTTTGCCTATAAATCCAAAACTATATGTTGATTTCAGCTGCCTAACATTAAAATGTTTTTTTTAAGAAAAACGCGACAAGAAAAAAATATATGATTTTAAATGCTAATTTTTGTATTTTGTACCAAACAATTTTAAGATTCCTAGGAAGGTTTAATAATTTACTGAAATATTTTAATATAAATTTATTTTGTTTTTATATATAAAAAAATTAAAAAGAGCGGCATGAGGGTAGGACTTGGTAGTGGAACAACTGTTGTCTATGCTGCCCAGAAATTAGGTATATAATTTTATTTTAATACAATATATATGACGATATATTACCAGAAATTTAGGGAACACTAGAAAAACTCAATGCAATACCTTTGAAATCGACTATATAAAATTATTCCACTTTCGCTCATTAAATTTTTAAAGAAGTTTAATACTCAAGCTTATATGAAATACTCATATAAAAGAATTTAATGGGCCGTGGCAGACTTTCCGTAAAGATTTAACGGGTCAGGCCTAACTTTTCATAAAATTTTTATAAACTGGGCCGGGCAAATTTTAAAAAAATGATGACGGTTCGGGCCTAACAATATTAAATAAATTTATAATAAGTCAGGTCGGGCCGAGAAATTTTTTTTATAAATTATAACGGACTGAGCCTTGAAGGCCTCTATATTACTTCATAAATTCCGAAATCATATAAAAGTTAAAAAATTATTAAAAAGTTTGTATATATATATATAAAGTTTAAAATAATATTAAACATCATTTCCCAAATCATAAAATTTAGAATTTATATATAGTATATCGATTGCTATTAAAAGATGATAATGGGGAGTTTATTTATTTTCCAGGTATAATTGTTATAAAAAATATATAAATGATAACTCGAGAGGTAAAACTGTTAGTAAACATTTCTTTTTTCTCTTCTTTGTTTGTTGATACTGATGCTTATTAAATTAAAGCTAATAGAACAAAGACCAGGAATGAGCTAAAAATAGCTTGCTCTTATTCATAACAAACATAACTTATGCTATACCTATTATATTAAGAAACACAGATTAAATTTATAATATGCCTAAAAAACCTATGGATTCTAAAACAAATAGATTTTAAATTTAAAAAATAAAGTTATCTAAATCAAATCTTTATTTCTTTATCCTTAGATAAAAATGTGAGAGAACAAGAAATCGAATTAGTTGAATACATTTAGAAGATTTATGTAATTATCAATTTAAATTTTTATTCTCAAATATTTTGCAATAGTTAATTCTTCATATCTTAATTAATCTTCGGTCGTATCAGACCAGACTTTGATGTCGGACCCTTTAGTCAGAAGCCACCGCCTTGTACCGGACCGAGCCGTCAGTTCGACTGCAAGTTTGACGAACACTAGTTGTAGATAAAATACCACTAAATTTCATATATTTAATAATTTTTTTGGTTTTCATATCATCTTTCGATAAAACTTATTTCATATAAATCTATAATAAATAGATTTAGGCCAAGTGCGGCACAGCAAGGCATTCAATATAATTATATTTTGCCTAAACAAGACTCCAGACCTTTCATATTTTTTGCTATCGATAGTTAGATAGGGATTGAGCTAATTTTTCAATGATTTTATAATGCTTGGCATGAACTCCTTATGTCTATATTAAGAACGCCTAACACCCATTAAATTTATTTTCATAGGTAGTACTTGCACCGTTTTTAAACGCCTCTATTTGAGTTGATTTTAAAAAACGGCTAACTCAATATTTTGTCTAAAATATATTACGCCAGTCTGAAGATTTTACTCATAGATGGTACAAAGTTTTGGACATCTATTAGTGAAGTCCAATATTTTTTGGCTAAAATATTGTGTTAGCCGTTTATAAAGGCTCAAATCAAGTCATTATTGATGTCTTTATGAAAAATTTTACTTAAGTTTTGCAGTGAAAAAGTTTCAAATGATTTGGTGGCAATTTTTTTTAAATGGTAGATAAATAGAACGTCAAAGAAAATTGAAATCGATTTTATTCATAGAATAAATTAGTAGTGTATTTATTTTTGCTATGAATGTGATAAATAAATGTAAACTCTCCACGGATGTTTGCTAGCCATCGCGAATAAGAGTGAAATCCTTTAAAGTATCTAATTTGTTATTGATAATATTCAAAATCTAATAGTATTTTGCCAATTATGTATCTTGATTGAGTTTTTTAAGTTGAGCACATTAATCTTGAAAAATTTATAAAATATTTATTTTATAGGGCAATTTGACATAAAAATTGATAGTGTCAAAGCGCTATTGAGTTGTGTTTATTCTTGACTACAAAAATTTTAGTTTTAGATGTGCTTGATACATTATTAAAATTATTGGTATTTTCTTTAAAATTTAGAATGGCTAGATTTATGTTTGTTTGGAATATTATTTTATTAGAAATACTGAAAACTAGTATACAATAATATCCTCATCAGTAGAATTATTATTTATCACCAATCTCATTACATTATAAATAGTGAAGTTCATCTAAAACTTTTTTGAAATATCCCAAAATAATACATAATGCTCATCTAACTCTTTACAATAATAAATTAAGGTAATTTCCACAAAAATATGGCTTGCAATTATAATTTTGATTAAATCAAACCAAACTAATTTTCATATAATACTCAAGCATATTTGACTAATATCCAAATTTTAATTAAACAATGTGAAGTTTATCTAATTTTAAGTAAATCTAATTAGAATAGAATATGATTCGAATTTAAATTTTGATAATTATACCCATATTCATATTATCTAACAATAATTCATACTTTTTTTAAAACAATGGATCAGCGAATTTGTAATATTTTTTGGGTAAAAGAGCAAAACGGACTTTTATTTATTATTTTAAAAATTTATCTCATGATATTGCATATTTATAAGTTGAAAATAATAAATAAAGAGCCAAACCAACCAATAAAATTATTTTTAATTTAGCTGTCGGATGGGTTAAACAAAATTTAAATAAATAGGCTAGCGAGCTGGTTTAAACAACGGGAGTTCGGATTAAAACTCACTTATTGCAGATCTTTAATTCATACCATAATAAAATTTTTAATTCAAGTATGTATTCTAAAAGAAGATATCTTGTAGCTTTAGGGCCAAAATTCTCTAAAAAAAGTATTTATTAAATTTTCTCATCTCCTAGGTTATGCATTCCGGAAGGGAATTGTTGGTTGCAAATACAGCTATACATGTATAATCATAAGCTAGTTTTTTCCTTCCTTCAATGGAATAAGAGTGAGGCCATCTAGTCTTTTTCCGTCAGATGTATTGAGTCCTACTGGTTTCAGAGTGGATAGATACCCAGCTTAATTAAGAATATTACCTAATAGATAATTTATTATTTGACTTCTCCCCTTACTGAATTCACAATGGATAGGATGATAGCCATTCGATTTGATTGCCGTTTTCCATAAAATACAAGTTCAAGGAAAAACAATTAGGCATTCTAAGCGCAAACTGCGAAGTTCCTCAGCACTAAGGTGAAGTCCCAAATTCACACTAGGAATAGCTTAAAATCACTCATAGTTATTATCCAAGTCGGCAATAACCCGCTTCAAATTGCAACGAATTAATGAAAGATACGGAATGAGCAATCAAATGAAGGTCCCAATATTTTTGAGTTGTACCCGCTGGAAGGCTTGAGGTTTTCAACTTGTAATCATTCCTTGTAGAAAGGGCCTTCATCAGCTGAAAGTCAGGTGAACTCTTGATAGGTTGCAGGCAGCGAAAGCGATTGTTTTTGAAGAACGAATGCCAGTGCCACTAAACCTGCTAGGGAGAATTGCTGGTTGCCAAGCAAAAGGTGAAAATTTTAGGTTAAGGATTTTCTCTATAAGAGATTTAATCTCCTTTTCGAGAAGGTTTAAAATACCATCAATTAAATAAACCGAAGATGACCAAAAATCATGTGTGATTTTGGAAATTAGGAAAAAGATTTTTTATCAAAAAAAGAGCGTGTTAGGGTGGTATAGGGATTGTAAGAGGGGAGTTGTTTCCTTTAGTAATGATAATTGTTAATAAAAGTTTGAGAACTAATTATCCTTCCAATTTGTGAATACAGATGAAACAGCTTTTCATGAGTGGGTTGGAATGAAAAACAATAGGAAGTTGGGAAATTGATAGTATTTCATACATAGATCAAAATTTTTGATTATAATTTGTATGTTTTATGAGGCAAGGGTTCAATTTAGAGATTACTCATATTTGTTGTTGAGATGTTGTATGATCTGTTGTATCTCTTTGCAAAAAAGGACAAGTCTTAGGGGATCACCTTGCTGAATCCCCTCTGATGATTGGATATTATAGGGTCCATACTGAAGGAATTCCCAAACTGTTGTTGATATTAGAAATATATGCAAGTAAGTCCTTAATGAAACAGGATACAAGGCAACTTCGTTTTGTAAAAGCATAAACTAAGATAGTGCCATGATTCTAGTAAAATTCTAGTTGCATGAGAAGCACTTTAGGATTAAATTTAAGACCTTAATTTTATTAGTCTTGTAAAATATATGGTGGTCTCCTCCTTGGACCTATGTTCGCCGGTCTCCCCACGAATATAAATATTTTAAATTATTAAATGAGCATCATATGCACAGTATTTTGATTTAACATCTAGGTGAGTTAATAAAATCGGGGAAACTGATGGATATTAAATGCGTTCCATCATCATATCAAGCTAAACAATTAATCCAAAATGCAGGACTGAGACTTACATCGTTAGATGAATCTAATTTGGTAAATTAAATGTATAATTTTATATTAATTTTAAAAAGATATTATAGTTAGAGTCATGTAATATAGGCTTCTAGATTTGTCCAATCTCAATGATAAGAAGCGCAACTCGACTTTAATTATAAATGGAATTAGGATATATATATAAATAAAATGCGGTCCTTGAGAACTTATTTTTGGTTTATTATAAGGAATATTTACTAAACAGGTTAAACAGATGTTAAATTTCGGAAAAATTTAGTACGGGAATCACCGGCCAGATTTTATTTATTTCTAAGACACGATTTTTACAATTACACTTTTTAAAAAAATAGGAAACAAAATAATATATTTTCAAATTGTCTAATCATTCGCTTTTATCTTTATCTGTTTACGTTTTATTTTTAACTCTTGCTTTTATTCATTATTTAATTGAAAATTTAATCGGAAAAAAGAATCAGTTAAAATATAAATTTAAAATTGATTAGGGCTAAAACAATACATTATCGATGATGTATCAACCCTAATTGCGATGGTCATTGATTATCATTATTAACATCTTATCTATTATATTTTTTTTATTAATTAATAAGTGGTGATTCCTATTTCCTGAATATAAAAATTTTAATTTTTATTACTCATGACTATTAAAAAATCTTAAAATACCCTAACTCAAGTTACAGGCGGTACTATATATGGTATCTTAACCATTGCACTTATCACAATCTCCAAAAAATTTATAATAGTATTTCAATTACGAAATTTTATAAACGATTATTTTATTGATAATATTTTTAAAATAAAATATTATTACGCAAATTAATTGCAATGTTAGAATTTATGAAAATTTTTAAAGCATATAAAATGAAAAGTGAATTTGACAAGTTTCACAGATAAATCTAATTTGTGGTGCAAATTATACATCCTCGTTTTCCAGCATCAACCTTGGATAATAATGGATCACTTAATATATTCATTAAAATCATTTACAACATCAAGCAAAATATATTAGGTTTCTCGGTTTCAGCAAAAAATATAAATTTACCTCTCTTTGTTTAATATTTCTAAAAAAATTGAAACATGGTTATTCCTCCTGGCGCCATTCCTTAACACGACACTTTACCACTCCAACATTTTATCATTCATTCGATAACTCGTCATATTGTTATGAGAAACGTTGATAAAATTTTTTAAAAATTATTTACATTTAAATATAATATATCTATAATTAATTTTTTATAACAATTTTTTTTATCCTATATATTTTTTAGCCAAGGGCACATGACATACAGCATCGAGCTATTTTTAAATATTATACCAATTAACTTGACTAGGTGATTTAAATTCAATCTAATTATGCTATATATGTACTTCGTCATCCCTTTTTTGGTACCTGTGTCCCTATAAAATTTAAAAAAGGTTTAGGTTCTTAGAAATTTTAAGAGAAGAGTTCTGATGTCTAAATTTATCCCTGGTTTGAAGGTTCCGGTTTCAAGATTTATACCAGTTCCAAATTCTGGTTTAAATTTAAGGAAAACTTTATAAAAGTATTAATTTAAAATAATCAAACCTTAATTTTTTTAATTCAAATTCAATAAAAAGATTACAATAAAATAAAATTTTGATTATAAATATTAAAAATACTCATACCTATATTTATAAAATAATTTTAAAAAGAAAAATATTTTAAAATAAATAAATATTATATTTCAGTTAAATCGGCGGGGCTTAATGACCCATGTATAGATATATAATTGGATCGGCAAATTTCGATCGATATTCTTGGTCGCAAGTCCTTTTTTTATCACCTATGATTAAACTTAACCTTTATCCTATTGTTTTGAATAATTTTAGACATACACTAATCTTTGCCATAAAATCTGAAGGAACATCTGGTAAATTTAAAATTATAAAAAAAATAGGCTGAGGGCAAATATGGCACATGATTAATTTGAGCCATTTTTATTGATGCCTGTTGGAAAAGAATTGTTGATGCAAATAAAATCAGAATATTTGTTTATTTGCGCCAAAGTTGAGAGTTAATGCGAGATTTATTAACTTTAAAATTATATAATAATCCAGGAGGAGCTTATTTTTTTCTAAAGTCAACTTGGTGTTTCCGTCCTAGATGGGATGATATATAGTATATCGGAGGCGACCTCGTGATTCCATCACTAAAATTTTAAATAAATGGTATTTTATTGCATTTAAAAAATTATTTGTTCGTTGTTTAACAATTTTGGTTGTTGTTTAGAAATAGATATATGTCGTTATTAACCTAATATTCGTTTAATCCTTTTCGTAATATATTATATTAGCTATATTTACTAAAATAAGGTGACAAATAATCGGGAAAAAAAATTAATTTAAATTTTATTTTGGAAACTATAATAACAATATGTCTGATTGTTATTCTCGGTGCAAATGATGTAATATATGATTTAGATTTTATAATGCAATATATTATAATTTTATATGTGCAATTAATATTATTTTATATGTGTAGTATATATTTTATTATATGCACGTTAAATATATTTTTATATATGCAAAATATGATTTTATATGTGTAATTCTTAACCCTTCAATACTCTGGTGGGGTATATGAAACCCCAGGCATGCTAGAAATAATATTACATAAAAACGGTTAAATATTATGATCTGGATTCTTCAGTAGCTTCATTAAATATATCTTATAATTTATATTCCAAATTTTATATATTTTGGTTGAGTAGTTTTTAAGATATAAGCATTTTGTGACTGATTGGGATTTGTGAGGCCCCACTTATATAAAATTTATTAGAACAAAATTTTAATATCTTATATTTTGAATGAGATATATTAAAAAAAAAACGTAAAGATTTTCTCTGGTGGAGTTATTTTATTTTTATTTTTCACCACCTGACTCATTTCTCAATTATTTTTATCATTTATTTTTGCAGATTCTGAAACTAAATATATAATTATTTAAGATGTAATATCATTTTATTTGAGGTGATTATGACAATATAATTAATAGTGAGGATGAAGATTTTATATACGATGATCATGATAGACAATCTGAATTAGATGAAGAAGAAATGTTAGCTGAAGACAATAAACTATATTATTTAGGTAAATATGAAATCATTTATTATAGTATATTTCTCTTTAAAATTAGTTAAAAAAATAAGTTTACTAAGAATAAGAACTCATCAACAAAATTTAGTTTTTCATCTACCAGGAGTAAAAGAATAAGGGAAAGAAGCTGACACCATTTCACTGTAATTGGAAATTATATTGGGGAGAAATATGATTATAAAAAATATTATATATACATATTGTTAAAAGAAAAGTAAAAGAAATATATTTTTTATTTATATTTAAAAAAAGGAAGTAAAGTCACTGTAGGATTTATATTTTGATTTAAAAATTTCAAATAAAGAAAATGACAACTTATTAAGCTTGGTATAAGATTTAAAAAGGCTGGGCCTATTTTTTTTTAAAAAAAAATCAGCCTTGGGCTGGGTCGGACCTAATATTTTATAAAAAAATTTCGGCGATATTGAGTCAAGATTTGGAAATATTTTTAAATATATTTAAATTTATCAATTTTATATTGAATTTTTTATTTAAAATAAAAATATTTGATTTTATTTATAGAAACTAGAGACGCCATGCTATATAACATATATCTTTCATTTTGAGTAATATAAAAATTAATTTCTATATTTAAATGGATTCTGGCCGTGCCGGTAAACATTTTAATCAAAAGTACCCCAAATTTAAACAAATATTTAAATGGTAAGAAAATGAGATTAATGTATAATAAAATAATAAACAAAGCTTTAATTATTATTAATTAGAATGTATAAGATTTAATTTATGAGTTTTATTTTAGCTTACTTTTCATTTATTCGAACCCCGGTTCTAAACCATAGGTGGATCTGAACTCCAGGTCTGGACCCCGGGTTCGTGCTCAGAGCAGGCCTGAGCATATAATTGGGTCGTAAATTTTACGACCAAGCAAATTAACAACATTACATACAGGTCTCTGATATATTTATTACCTCAATATAAATATATAATCGGAACATATGAATTTTCATTATATTAATTACATAAAATCTGTAAAAATTATATTTATGCTCAATAAAAAATATTCCTAAATAAATTTTTGCAATGTAAAACCTATTATTCTTGCTAGATGAAGGTTTTGCCTAACTTAAGCCCTCCTATTCTGTGGACACACTGAAAGATATTGGGTTGGTGAATGGAAGGGTTAAAATTTTTAAAACAATGTGTAGGTGAATTTGAAATATATTTCAGGCAAAATGAGTAACTGATTTTTATTTATTATTAGATATTATTTTTTTATTTCATAATTTATAAGTTTAAGTAAAAGAATTAAAATAATACATAAAGAGCCAAATCAACCAATATAATAATTTCATTGGACAGGCAAGTTAAACAAAATTTTTAAATAAATGAGCAGGCAGATGTACCAAAACTTGCCCATTGCAGTCCTGTAGTTAGGATGACATTGGAAACAACAGATCATAATAGTTTTATCTCTGCTAAAGAATCCTGATGGAATTTTATTATTTCCACATTTTATCATAGATTATCATTTTATTTTTAATCATAATTTAAATTTTATTATATGATATATTACATTTTTATTTTCCCAAAATCAATTACATTTTTTTATCTCTTTATATATCTTTTTTTTAAACAATAATAAAAAAAATAACTAATACAAATTGATGTATAAAAAAAAATATTAATATAAAATTTTCACCGATTAAATTTAAATATAAATTGATATATAAAAAAAAATCAATTGCCAAAATAAATAATAAAATAACATCTATCAACATATTCAACATTCCACCCTCCAAAGAAATTCGGCTTACGATTTCCATGGATAAGTTGAATGGTAACGTCATTAACATTCATGATCACCACGCAATACGCTACCCATGTTCATGGTGCAGTCTTCTTTTCAAACCGAACAATGGCTTGGTAAAGTAAAGACAACCTCTAGCTAATTTCCAAACCGGATCGCTTGTGCATGGCATCTGACATCTAGATTCCTTTCGAGCAAGGTTTATTTTGTCGTGCTTCAGCCAGCAATCCAATTTCTGAGTCGTTGCATCGATCTTGGCGCACGGAATTCTCCTTGAAGGTATGATCTTAGGCACAGCATCGGGCTTCAAGTGAACTTTCTCTTGTCTGACGATTTTGGGTTTGTAGGAGTAAGTTGATTCGAGGTCTTTTTTTTGTTGTCGAGATTATCTTCTCGAGATCATTCTCTACATTACCCACTAAGAACGTTTTTAAAATGTTGTTGAAGGGGTGGATCCACATACGTCCTAGCAGGGGGATTTTATCATAATCCACTACAATGGCCTCCATTGTATGTGAGTTTCCTTCATACTTAACGTTAACATTGGCAAGACCTAATATCTTGATAGCGCTGCCGTCATAACCAATGAGTCTCATGCCCGTCTTACGTATAGCAGTTAGGCCTACAGTCTTAGCTATCAGTTTCGGAAGTATACTATACCTGGTACCGGTGTCAACTTGCATCAACGTGGGTATGTTTTTGATGCTCACTGTCACGTTTTACGCGTCATATGTAATATCCTTGACCCCCGTATTGTACACATCCAAATTCTGCAGATTTTATTCTTTAAGGTCTGTGTTTGAGTCGTCGTCATCATCAATTACTTCGATGTTCATAGCATGGTTCGTATTCAATTGACAATCACGATCTTTGTAATCAGAAGATCTATTGTAAGTATTATTGTCATTTTTGTACTGATTGGGCCTCGACGAATATTTTGAAAACCATTAATATTTTGAGGGTTGTGTCTGTGCTGACCACGACTGGGATAGTTGGTTCGGTTACTCTATAGCAATCATCCCGCCGATCAGGGCTTTGATGATGGTCACAATGAGAGTCGTGGCGATTGCCATGGACGTTGTACCCGCTATTGATGTATCGATCGTCGTAGTAGTTATCGTTGCGATTATCGAAACGGTTGCGGTTATAGTGACAATTATCGTAGCTTTGATCAAAACGATTGTCGTGGAAGTTGCTATGCCGTCCGTTGAATCGTTTGTCGCGGTCGTTTCGTCCGTTGAATCGTTTGTCACGGTCGTTGTCGTAGCGTATATCGTAACGTTCATCAAATCGTTTGTCACAGCAATAGTCGCAGCGTAAATCGTAACGTTCATCGAAATTCTGTGCGGGGCGATTTTCATTGATGAACTGGGGCTGCTTGATAAGAGATTTACCATGTGCATGAGAGTTCTGAATGGGTTTTGTTGTTACGTAACTATTTTTGACTCTGCCTATGTGATTAACCTCTTGTACACCAGGTGATTCATTCAAATTTAACAATTTCATCTGCCCTTGATGCCACTTGGGTCCGCGGTGTCTTCCTCTAGACCTAGATTATGTCTTCTATGGTCATAGAGCTCTTGACCGCTTTCCTGACATCTTTGGAATACGAAGATACCACTTTCTCAATAATTCTCTGAATGCCATTGAAATTACATTCTTTATTGAGTCGTGCTACACGCGTGACCCAAGCTGAGAATGTCTCGTCCTTGCCTTGAGTTGCAGCATAAAATAATGATAGTTTAGCGTTCTCGGTCTTCGATGGATGTTGTAACTTGAATTTGCCAAGCAGGGCGATTGGGTCCTGGAAGTCTGCCTCAGTGCAAATTGCCCCAATATTATTGAATTCGTTATCAGGAAGACTTCGGAGAAATAAAGTGGCTTTTTCTCCGTTGGAGATCTTGCTGGTGTTGAAGAAATTCTGCAATTTCCCTTTGTAGGCGATGTCATCGCTACTAAATTTGTGAAAATCCAGCTTGACAAATTCAGTCATATATGTGGAATTGTTCAAAGCATCCATCGTAAGAGAATTATAATCGATAAAGGCGTGAAATAGAATAAATGTACATTGCAAAATCAAGATCAAATTTTGAGATAGTACTTACGCAGAGTTCAAACGTAGATTGGCCTCCATGTTGGAATTGAATTAATTCCACGTTTTATCATTGATAATTATTTCACATTTTATATTGATTTTCATTTTATTTTTAATCATAATTTAAATTTTATTATATGATAAATTATATTTTTATTTTCCTAGATCAATTACATTTTTTTTATCTTCATATATCTTTTTTTTTAAACAATAATAAAAAAAATAACTAATACAAATTAATGTATAAAAAAAATGTTAATATAAAATTTTCAACGATTAAATTTAAATACAAATGGATATATATAAAAAAAATAAATCAATTGCCAAAATAAATAATAAAATAACATCGATCAACATATTCAACAAATCCATTCATAAATGATATGCGTCTGCCACTTTTATATTCCGAGGTCTGCAAATGACAACATTTTCAGGCCCAATGGGAATTTAATTAATGCCCATCACAAGTTTTGCCTGGCCTAATTCCAATTTTTTTAAAAACTGTAACAAAGTTATAAATTGTATAAAATGCAAATATTTATTAGATTGTGAGAATATTTAGGCACAAAACACTCCTTGTACAATGTTCACCAGAGTTTTGAGATAATATTTATCTAAATAAAATTAGTTAATTTTGAAAAATAAATATTTCACCTGTAAAAATTCAGTTATTGATAGATACTACAAATCAACATATAACAATTTTCTAAATATCAACCTAATTTGCCAAATACCGACCAAAATTTATTAAAATGTAATAAGACCCTTATTATTTAAAATATATTATAACGGAATCATGTGGTCGAGTCTGGCCTCCTATATATCACCCCCTCCCCCTCAAGGACGGAACCACCAAGTTGGATTAAGAAAAAAATGATCTTTGCTGGGATTCAAACCCATAACCATCAGATTTGTAAGCGACGCTTTTGCCGATTAAGCCACAGACGCTTTTCAAAATTAACGATTTTTTGAATATATAGTATAAATAAATTTGTCTAAATGAAAAATAAACAAAATACAAATTTGATGGGTATTACTATAAGGCAATACCTAGCCTATCATTAACCTAAGAATTCTTAAATAAATGAATGTTTGATATGGTATGATATTATCATTGGACCTAATAAGCTATCGTGATTTTTATTGGACGAATATTTTTTAAATAATTGGCTATTACTTTGGGACACTTCTGACTAACACGGCTTTTATATATATTATAGATTGACAATTATTGATATCAGATTCAATATAGGAACTAATTTTAACTTTTAATTTAATACTAATTATTTAATGTCAGCAAAAAGTTAAAAAAATGCCAATTTCTGTATCCTTAATCCCCATTATCACTAATATAATTGCTAATAAACCCTACCCCACATCAAAAATTTATAATCATTTATTTTAAAAGCTGGATATATATATTGATGGTGCAGATGAAGTAGATTCAAATTCAAATTTAATTAAAGGTGGAGGGGGGTGCTTGGTTCAAGAAAAAATAGTAGCTTATAATTCTAAAAGGTTTATAGTCATAGCCGATTATAGGTTAATTAAATTTATAAGTAAATTTATAACTAATATTATAGAAAGGATTCCAAAGTTTTAGGACAAAATTGGAATAGAGGTATTCCAATCGAAGTTATACCAGTGGCCATAACACCCGTGCAAATTTTTTTAAACGGGTCTATTGAAGGTGCAGGACCGGCTGTTTTAAGAATGTCACATGAAATAATGGTATGGTAAAATATAATTGTAATAATGTTTTTCTTATTTTATATAGGGACCTGCTCGTACGGAAAATGGAAATTTTATAATCGATTGGCATTCTTCTCTCCTTAATAAACAAGACATTCATTGGAACGAGCTATACCAGAGAATTAAACTTTTACCTGGTAAACTTTTTTTTAATTATCACTCGCAAAAACTTTAATGATTGAAAATAAATTGTTTGTTATATATACCTCATTTTACTATATTTTGCATATAATTTTTAATTATTTGCTAAATTTTATATGCTGCGCAACTTGCGTTAATCCTGAAATCATTTTCTTTGGTATAATGAACTCTTATCAAAATCATTTTAATTAATATCAGAATTTTTTTAAATATACGCAATAAAATAATTTTTTTTTAAATAACAGCCGGGCCTAAGTTCTTTTTTAAAAAACATACCATGGCCGTGCTTGTATGTTTTAAAACTTAATATTTTAAATCGCTATGTTCTATAAAAATAAAAAATGAATGTAATATAATTTTTTAAAAGTCCGGGCCTGGCCGAAGTTTTTTTAAAAGGAAAATTGGTCGGGTCTGAAAATAATATAAAACCTGGGATGGGTGAGTGAGTTCGAAATTTAAAGCCCGGCTGTTGGTACCTCTCAGGTCTGATTAATATTATTTAAATTAAAGGTCATATCAAAAATCTCTATATGTATTTCTGCTTGTTTAATAAATATTTTATATTTTATTGAAACTAATATTACTTTGGACTCAGTTTATAAATATATTATTATAAACTATGCAAATCTCTGATTAATAATATTTAAATTAAAGTTCATGTCAAAAATCTCTTTATGTATTTCTTCTTGTTTAATAAATTTGTTATATTTTGTTAAAACTAATATTACTTCAGACTCATAAATATATTAATAAACTATGCAAATCTAACATTCTTGACAATGAAATGAATTATATAGTATGTTCATGTATTAATATCATAAATAGACCAATATTAAATATTCATAACATTATTATAAAATACATTTTAGTCAATCAATATTACAATTTAACACAATGGATTCATTTTAAGATAATAGCAGAATTATTTTTATCACATTTAAAAATATTTCATATTCATCCCATCATTTTATTTCATATAAATATCAAAAATCAATTATTACATCCCATGATTATATATACCAAAATATCAATATTACAACCTGTCTAAATTATCTTTATTTTCTTCATATAAAAATTTTAAGACAAAGAAAATTTACTTGAAAATATATTGACAAAACGTCCATAAATGTCAATTACAAATCGACAGATAGAGGATTGTATTATATTGGGTAAATAAAAAATTTTATTGGGGGAATTTATTAAAAATTAAAAAATAATTTCTATTTTGAAAAAAGCTTAGTTCATCTTCAAAAGTTCATTAGATCCTCATTCAATTTTATTTAATCTTTATTAGAAAATAATCTGTACTTGTGTTGTTTTAGAGGGAATAAAGTTGCATTATTTTTGTCACTATCTTTTCTCAAGGAAATAAATTCAAGTTTTCTTCCTTCGCTGACATCTAGTTTTACGGGGGCTAATCTGATTTAAATAGATGAATTATTGCTGATAGTATATATTCAATTGAAATAAAATATTATCAAAATATAAAGTGCGAACAATACTTCATTTGTATACCTTTTATCTTTGCCTTGCAGAATTGCATAAATAAGTGGCTTACAAAATGAAATTATTTATAGCCACTTTTGTAATATTATAATAGTTATCCTGTTAGATTTCCCAAATATATTTTTTCTTCTCTCTCTCTCTCTAAAATCGAAAGAGAGGAGCAGTTTCATAACCTATAAAATCATATATATAGCCATACAATATTCAATATATGAACGACTAGTCATTATCTGAAAATCTCTATAATTTGAATTTTCACAAGATTCGTCAAATTTGTGGCATTCTCCTTAGACTATATTAATTTCACGGAGTTATAGAAAGAGTTCCACCTTGTTATAACTATTTTAATCAGATATCATTATTTCCTTAAAAATGGCTGCACAGTTTGGATGATACCCCTTTTTAAATTGAGGTTAAAATATTTGAGTTGGGACACAATTTACACTTATAAACTGTAAACTTTGTACTCTTAGCTTTCTTCATTGATATAAAAATGTTTCATCATAAAGCCAAGATAAGCTTTACACATCTTCATCTAAAGAAAATGTACAATTGATATAATATTCTTTATAATTTACATACATTGATTGATTCAATATTAATTAGATTAATAATCTTGACTGAAAATTTAACAACCAAAATTTTAAATAAAAATGAAGGAATTTAGTGAAACTCGGCTTAAATTATTTAAAATTTAAATAATAAATAAATGTAATTTTATAATACAATAAAATATGTTTTTTCCATATTTTTTTAAGAATATTTTTTACCGTTACGCAAAAAGAGAAACCCGTTACCGTTATTCATTACCTCTATACTTTTCTTCAAAAAGGGTAACGACATTACTTTAGAGCACTAGTATTTAGGATTTATTCTAAGAAAGCATAATTTCTCCTTAAGATCCATATTTTTATATGTCCAAAATGTTTAATAAATTAACCAAAATTAGGTTTCAATTTTTATACTTTAATATATATAATCTCCATAATCAAAACATGATCGTTTTCATATCTTCCTAATGTATTTAATCTAATATATATAATCTCCATAATCAAAACATGATCGTTTTCATTTTACTACTGTATTTAAAATTTAAGGATACTATATAGTGTAATGTTATTTTTTACTCTCACAAACCTCCCGTTTCAAAGTCGTATGTTTTAAACATGCACTAACTTGAATATAATTAAATTTAAAATATTAATTATATATATATATTAATTAATAGCTGATATTTTTAAAATTCTGCCATTTATTACCATACTAGCTGACGGGGTTGAAGGGTAATTATTTAGTTTGTGTGTATGTTACTAAATATACTTTATTAATAAATTTTATATAAATATTAAAATTTAGGAGAAAAAGAGGTAAAATTTTTGCAATGTAACCCGTTAGCATTAAGGGTATTAGAATAAAAAATTTAAATTTGTGATTGGAATCATATTGGGTAAAATTAAAAATAGAGATTCTTCAAAATTTTTGAATTTTAAATATGGGCTAGACATTGGCCTCAAAATTTTGTTTTGCAGATACAGCTAGGCCTGATCAAAAAACCACGTTCCATGCAACTTTCCCAAAATTATGCCATTTATTTCTATTGTAATTTAATAATAATGTCTTAAATTTAATTATATATTTAGAATAATTAAATTTATGATAGAAATCATACTGAATAAAAAGATGCTTGGAAATTTTTTAATTTTAAATATGGGGTAGACATTGGCCTGAAATTTTTTTTGCAGACATAGCCAGGCCTGATCAAAAAACCAAGCCCCATGCAACTTTCATAAAATTTTGCCATTTATTTCTATTGTAATTTAATAACAATGTCTTAAATTTAATTTTATATTCCATTTATTTCTATTGTAATTTATTTATACTATTTTTTATTATTCATTTATCTTTAAAACATGTAAACAAAATATAAAAATAAAAAAATGAATATATATATATTAAAAGTGAATGTATATTTTAAAAATATCGATGGCTCTAAAAAGTGCTTATAGTAAAAATGTTCCTAAAAAACAGGTATAATTATGTTTAAAAATTTCTAATTGGAGTTTTTGTTTAAGAAAAATTGATTCGCGTTTTTCGTTTGTAATGTTAAAAATTTTACGTGCTAAATTATTTAAAAAAAATATATGTTGATTGTGAGAAATTGCCATCATTTGAAATGACTATGGGTTGAAAAATAAAGTTATTTAGTATTGAGTATTTATTAATTTTTTTATTTTCCTCGCTAGTAAGAGGGTTTGAATTTATTGATGAGGGAAAGGAAGAGACGCAGGTTGCGTCCCAAATTAGGGATTTCCCATTGGACCATGGGATGCAGGTTAAACCGTCAGGTCTGAGACCATCTTGTAAAGAGAGGTTTGTTGGTTCTAGGATGTTAGGTATTTTAGCCTTATTAAGAGCGTTATGGATGATTTTATTTATAGCTTTATGCCCGAGGTGGGCTGCGGGAGCAGTTTAGGCCGTGTCTTGCGTTTGGTTGAACGGGTAGGTTGCAAAGGTGGCAAGTGTGTGAATGTGTAAGCGAGCATCCAAGTCTAAATCCTATGGTAACTCTCAGTTGGTCATTGGTTAAGAGATTATCAAGGGTTAGGCTTGGAAGTGCCTCAAGCCATTCATGCCCGCCGTATTTATCATTTAGTTGAAGAAGTTGTATATCGCTGATATCGGAAGTGTTAAGACTATTTTGTAGTTTCTTTTTAAGGGGTCCCAAGATTGATTTATTAGAAATCTCGGTTGGGAATGTTTGACCGTCTGGGGTTAGTAGATTCCATTTTTCGATTGCTACTGTTAAGAGATCATCATTGGGGGTTATGAAAGATGAGATCGCGGAATTGAGCGAAAGGCGATTAGAGATAAAAAGAGATAGGGAGAATAATTCTAAGGGGATCAGGTCGATACCACCAAGTTTAGCAGGTAACTGAGCAAGGTGCCAATTAAAGTCTGATAATGGAAGATTAAGGATCCTTTCCATAAAGGTCTTTAAGCGAATATTATGTTGGGTGAAAAATCCTGAGGAGGTGAATGAGGAGGATGAGTGGAAGAGGTGCGAGATTTTAGGTAAATATAGGCATTTTTTTAATAGATAAAAAAGTTGGTCCGATGGGATATGATTGATGAACTTTTCCAAGTTTTGCAACTCGGAGAAGGTTTTATCGATAGTTTTTTCCGAAATTTTATTATTAAGTAGTGGGGAGCCCAAGAGTTGGATATCTTCGATATCGATAATATTGTAATCTTTAAATGAGTCTAGGGAAATCTCAGGGTTGAGCAGATTTCTGTTTTGTTTTTGTTTAATTCTAGGCCTATTTTGGGGCATTCTCTTTCGAGGTGGTAGAAGGCTTTGATTATTTGATGTTGGTTACTAACTAGTGTTGCGTAATCGGCTAAAAACTACGCCTAAGCCTAATAAGGCTAAGCCTAAAAATCGGCTAAGAAATTAGTCAAAATTCTGCATCGATGCTTAGTATTAATTATT